AAAGCCAAGTTGAAACTCAATAAGTCTATTGATTCAGAAAAAAGGAAAAAAATTAAAGTGTCTAAGCAGGTTGGGGTCATGGGTAGGGAGAGTTGATCATTGTGTCAGGTCCTGTGTGGGCCATGGGCTGGCTGTCCGGTCTGGTTTCTGAGGCTGTGGTCCACAGGCTTGTCCACCGTCAGGGGCCTGGAGCTGACACACACTTCCCCCCGCTGCTTCCCAGAGGCAGCGCTCTCCCCGGTCAGCGCCTGTTTCTAGAAGGTCCAGCGCACGTTCCTTGGGGCTCTTTCCGTTTGCTACGGGTTCTGACAATCTGGAGAGCAAGGGCTTTGAAAAGAAAGTTTGGTGGGGGGTGACAAGATAATTTTAATGAAAGTTTTTCCAAAAAAGAGGATGTGTGTGCAAATAAAATAAAAAGAACCAAGCCCTCTGAAAATGAGCAATATGAAACGCAAGGTCAGAGCAGTACCGAAAAGTTGTCTGTTCTTGCGGTTGTTTTTTTAATGCTGAGAAGATAAACATGCCAGTGGCTTGTGTTGACTTGTCTTTTTTTTCTTAGGGGTTTTCATGTGTCTTTTTATTGACTTTATTGGGGTGACATTGATTATAAAGTTATATGGGTTTCAGGTGTACGAGTCTATAATACCTCATCTGTATTGTACTGTGACCCCGAGTGGAGTCTACTTCTGCCAGCATTCATCACCCCTGCCCCTCTTCTACCTCCTCCCCGCTGCTGCCCCCTGGTGATCACTACCAAGTTTTAAAACAGTGGCTGCAGTTCCATAAGATGAGACTTCAAGTGGGGAAGTTAGAAAACCTTCCTGAGCTTGGCCTTTTCTGGTCCTCAGTGTCCCTGGTCCAAATGCTCTTTAAGACGCTGTAGATTTCTAGATTTATGTTCAAGAAGAAGTGGAAGAGGAGGAAGGGTGAGGAGGAGGAAATTAGAAGGAAGCAAAAATGACCCAAAATATAAAGAAAAATTGTCAAATAAGTCCGTTTGAATTTATTATTATATCAGTTATATTATTAATTTTGGCTATGTTGACAAATAAAAATAAATTATTTTAATTATAATTTTTACTTAAAACTTAAAGGAAAAAATTCTCAATAGTTTATATAATTTAGCTAAATGCCACACACTTACGTTTGTATTGACAGAGCACACAAAATTAAACGACATTTAAACTAAAATCCTGTCTTGTACAAATAATACAGGGTCTTTGAACTTTGCCTTGTTTCCTGTGTCAAGGAATTTTAGTCTATTACTACTTAGTAGAAAGTGGAAAATAAGCATATCATATGCCAGACTTTTAAGTATCCATGTGTGTTTGCAATGAGACAAAGTGTGGGTTATGTGGAATCATATTTCTCAGTTTTCCAACGTGAGAACACCTTAAAATGATTTCTTTTAGAATAGCTTTGATCTTTTACCTGATCCACATTTATGTTTACTCTTTTTCTCCTTGTCCACACTCTGTGTATGGTCTGTCCTGTTTAAAGTAACCGTGGAGCAGACGAAGAGTTCAAATATTGTTAGCAGAATGAGGGAAATATTTTTACAACTTGGCAATAAAAAGAGGTTTTAAAGTAAACATGTAAATCTGGGAGATCTTTTATCGAATTAATGTTCTCTGACAGTCAATGTAAAAATCTTAAACCACATGTCTCTGGTTTGAAATAAATTCTGGCTTTATTGTTTATTACAAAATTATCATCATCAATTAGTTATGTGTTCAGCAATAAAAGTGATTGTTTTCCTTATCTAAGCAAGTAATTTATTAGGCCAAAAATTGATCTATTATCATCGGGGGGTAAACTTCTAACACTCAAGTAATTTCTGTAAGGGTTGTGAGCGAAAATATTTTGATTTTTTTAAAAATTCCAACTCCTTGAGCATTGCCCATGTTACTTTTCTCTGTCAGCCTCACTTGCCTTATGTGTTAATTGAAAATGGAAATGTTTGTGAATACCTAACAGAGAAGTACAAAAGATAAAGTAATAAAGGAGCCTTAAATGGCTGTAGGAATGCAGTTTTCACTCTGCTGCCCATTTCTGCATTCTAGCTATTCATTTTTTAATGCAAATAATTTTTTTAAAATCTGACCCTGTTTTCTTTAAGCCAGTATATCCCAAATATTATGTCAACATGTAAGTAATATAAAATTATTGTTTTTTATTTTATTTTTATTGTTTACACTATTACGATGTCCCCAAACTCCTCTTTGCCCACTTTCCCCCTGCCCACAAGCCCCCTTTGCTCTGGCCATCACCACACTGTTGTCTGTGTCAATGGATTATGCATATATGTTCTTTGGCTAATACCTTCACCTCCTCTCATCCAGTCCCACCCTACTCTCTTCCCTCTGATAGCTGTCAGTTTGTTCCATGTATCCATGTCTCTGTTTCTATTTTGTTCATACGTTTATTTTGTTTATGAAATTCCACATATAAGTGAGATCATATGGTATTTGTTTTTCATCAACTGCCTTATTTCACTTAGTATAATAATGTCCAGGTTTATCCATGTTGTTACAGAAGGTAAGAGTTTCTATTTTATGGCTTTGTAGTTCTTCATTGTGTAAATGTAGCACAGCTTTTGTATCCACTCATCTACTGATGGGCATTTGGGCTGTTTCCTGATCTTGACTATTATAAATAGGGCTGCTGTGAAATAGGGGTGCATAGATTCTTTCTGATTGGTGTTTCAGGATTCTTAGGATATATTCCTAGAAGTGGGATCACTAAGTCAAAAGGCAGTTCCATTTTTAATTTCTTTTTTTTTTTTTTTTTTTTTGGTATGTGCCCCTAGCGGGAACTGAACCTGGGATTCTCTGGCCCGCAGGCTGATGCTCCAACTGCTGAGCCAAACTGGCCAGGGTGGCAGTTCCATCTTTAATTTTTTTGAGGAAACTTTATATTGTTTTCCACAATAAATACACCAGTCTGCATTCCCACCTACAGTACACTAGGGTTCCCTTTTCTCCATATTCTCACCAATACTTGTTTGACTTATTGATGGTAACCATTCTGGCAGGTATGAAGTGATAACTCATTGTGATTTTAATTTGTATTTTTCTGATGATAGTGAAGTTGAGCATTTTTCAAATGTCTATTGGCCATCTATATGTCCTCTTTGGAGAAGTGTCTATTTAGGTTCTTCGCCAATCTTTTAATTAGGCTGTTTGTCTTCCTAGTGTTGAGTTGTATGAGTCCTTTATATATTTTGGAAATTAACCCCTATTCAGATTATCATTGGCAAATATGTGCTCCCATACAGTATTTATTCATTCTTAAGTATGTTCACTGCCTATACCTTAATGGAAACCTTATATTTATAGAACAATAGACAGATTTTTTCCCCCATTAGTCTTATTTATAAAATCTAAGTTGGAAGAGAGCCCTCAATAAATATAATTCATGTAGATGAATGCTTTTCAAGTGGAAACTGAAGTGCTAAAAATATGCTAAATGTGTGAAAACAGCACAGTTGTAGCAAACTCTATTCTGATTATTCTTGATAGTTATATTCTATAAAATCACCATGAATACTGAATTGCTGTTCCTAGGAGAAATGCAAGTTATGTTTTTTCAGGTATCTGGTCACAAAATTTTCCATCAATTAATCAATACATAACATTTCTTATGATACCTTATTTCATATATATTATTGATTAATTAACATTAAACTCACAGCCAACAACACTATAATGCATACCTGAATGAAATTTTTCTAGCACATATATTTTCTCTGTAAAGCACATTATCACCTTCTTGTGCTTAGAAACAATAGACAAACACTTTTGCACTGTACTTTAGAGCCTTTTAAATAGCCAAGTCATAAACATAAAGCATAAAAATGTGAAAACTGTAGCACTAAATAGATTGCAAAAAGGATGTTTATTTACATTATGAGATCTGAAATAAGAAGGCAAAATTCTCCTTGTTTGACTTCCACAGAGAATGTGCACCTTGGGTGACATTGTTTTGCCATTCTGTGCATGCTGCAAGTGGCCAGAAAAAGAGCCATAGGTTTTGACTTTAGCATCACAAATAAATTTTAGTTAGTAGCTGAATTTACAATAAAAGAACCCATAAATAATGAGGATTGATGTTGTTTGCTATTTGCTATTTGTCCATACTCTCATTGTATTCAAGACTTACAGAACAGTTGTGTTTTCCCTTCATGACATGCTTTCAGTTTATTTATCTTTTAAAACTTCAAGAAAATGTATCATTCTATCTCTGTCATGTTACTACTCAAGTATATTGTTTTGTATTATTATGCTTATTATTTTATGAATATTGAAGAAATGCAAATGGTAAATAATTAAACTAAATGATTTCTAAACAATATGCAAGTGTATTTAGAGAGCAGAAATATTAGGGCAATTCATTTAGGTAGAATTATGACTCTGTTTAATGATTTGCATTAAATTTTAACATTTTCTCATAAGTTAAGTATAATATTCTAATAGAATGCCATACATTTCTGTGAATTGATAGAAAATAAACAAAAAAGTGTCTAAAAGAGACATCTCTTATGCACATTAAAATGGCTTATCTAGAGGAGAAAATAAATATCATTGATAGAGCCATAATTTTGATAAAGTGAATTGAATGCCTGCATTATACTTCTTTGTAATATAGTTTTCTGCATTTTTTAAGATTAAACAGTGACTTAGTATGGTAACCAGTGAGGAGATATAGGTATCAAAACCAAGAAAACTTAAGAACTGAAACCAATAATCATACATAATTTTCCCCAAGCCACTCTTCCCAAGATAAACACCAAATGAGAGGAAATGAGAGGATTGTCATTTCTCCTGTTTCTATCAGATATGCTTCCATTTCATCAGCTTGACATGTGTGTGAAGATGTGTGTGTGTGTGTGTGTGTGTGTATGTATTATTTTTTATGTGCCCCTAGTGGGAACTGAACCTGGGGCTCTCTGGTCCGCAGGCCGACGCTCCAACCGCTGAGCCAGACCGGACAGGGCCACATTTATATTTTTTGAAATTATCTTAACATCCTGTTCAGTATGTTACCAGAGGGATGAGTGGGCCAGATTCCTGCAACACGAGTGGACATGGAGTTCTTGAGGTACCTCTGAAATAAGCATTTTCGGAAGCCCCCACAGGAGAATGAATAGTCTTTATTAATGTGGAGTTATACTCCTAGGGGTGTAACGTCTCAGTTCCCTTAACCCAGTCCTGGAAAGGGGCAGCTGCGGGTTTAGTAAGGCTGGAAACGGCAGGGCCAGTGTCCAGAGCTTTCTCTCCATGTTGTAGCCGGGTCCGTTCAGCATCAGTCTAGATTCAGTTCATTAATCCATTGTGTGGAGTCCACATGGCCATCAGCCTTGCTGGCAAATGCAGGGAGTGTTCCCCCTGCAACAGGAGCGGGGAGAGAGAGAGAGAGAGAGAGAGAGAGAGAGAGAGAGAGAGAGAGAAGAGATTCCTTTAAGAGATTCAATATTTAGGTTTCCGGCACTTGCAGTGGCCATGTCTGTTCTGGCCACAGACTTGCTCCCAGGTGTGACAGGCAGGCAGGCACATCCTGGACCTTACCGGGCGAGCATCTAGACTGCCTTTGCCCAGTCTCTTCTTCCCCCATCAATTAGCGGGAAATAAACCCGGACAGTGTTAAACTGCCAGTCTCCCCTTCACTCCTTTTTTAGTTAAATACTAAGAAGGCTATTGAAACAGCATCAAGTAGGCATTTTACTAATGATGAAACCAAAACTTAGAGTGCTTATAACTTGTTTAAGATCAATAGCTTGTAACCAGTTTCATTAAAATTGAAGTTCTAGTTTGAATGCCTCCAAAATCCATCATTTTCCCACTACACAAGGTTTAATATATAAGCAACCAAAACTCTTACTATGGATATGTTGTGAAACAATTCTTGGGAAAGCAACATCAATTCTATATACTTCTTACTCTGGAGGTTCATATTCTTCAAAAATCACTGACAGCTTCTAAAATCAAGAAGACATAACAGAAAAAAAGAATAATCCATCAACATCAGAACTGTAGGTTTCTAAACCATGGCATCCTCATGATAGAGGAAACTGGATTTCCCTCTACAACTATATGTTCCTTCAGTTTTCATAGACTGTGGCTTGGAAAATGTGCATCTATATTCACGTTAATTAAGTGATAATGGAATTTGTGAGAGCACCAAGGCTTCTCCTATAAAAAGTGAGGTTTGGGATTCTTCTCTCTCTTGAATGCTAGGAGCTTCAAATGAATTATTTTAAGTAAGATTACCTTTCAAAACACAACTAACTCATTTATAAATGTGTACCTAACTCATTTATAACTGTGCTTACTCCAATAAAATTTCTTCTTCAACCTCAAATGTTTTTCAGTAATATATTAAAACCTTCAATCTTTCCCACAATTAATAGTTGACAGGATATAATAAATAGTCTGTGTAATTTTATGTAGAGCTCTTCACATATGGTCTAGGTATTGTGACTCTGCATCATGAAAAAATCTTGATTTCTTTTATTCATGAAATAAATATCTACTGAGGGCATTTAGAAAGAAGTGAACTTTTCTAGGAACTGATACTATAATAGCGAGTAAAGCAAAATCTCTTCTTCAGTTCAAAGAAACAGAAGGGTGAAAGGATTGAGCCAAGAAAAACTCATGGACACAAACAACAGTATGGGGATTGCCAGAGGGAAGCTGGTGGGGAAGGAAGTTGAGGGTAAAGGGGCTTAAGTAGCAAAAGAGGGAGACTTGACTTGGGGTGGTAAACACACAATACAATATACAGATATGTACTGTAGAATTGTATTCCTGAAACCTAGATATTTTATTAACCAATAAATGCAATTAAAAAACAACAATAACAAGAGGCAATACCATGCATATTCTATGTGACCAAGTTTTGGAAGGTTGAAGAGGAGGAATCTGAGCTGGAGCCCCAGGGTAAGCAGTGGTCAGTGAGCATAGAACTGGGGAGACAAAGCAGAGGAAGAAACTCTGAAAGAGGCTGCAAGATAACAGAGCACACTCAAGCATCGACAAAAGGCAGTGCCTACATTTTTAAAATAGATGCTCTAAAGGATATGCATCTCTATGTTCTCAAATTGTACAGGTCATTTCTACTTCAGAACATATTCTCACTGAAGTATCCATGTCACAGAATACCATCCATAAAAATATGTCATATCAGCCTTTTAAATCATAAGTGATGGTATGAAAATGTTGATAACACCTTCCCTTCCTTCCTTCCTTCTTTCCTTCCTTCCTTCCTTCCTTCCTTCCTTCCTTCCTTCCTTCCTTCCTTCCTTCCTTCCTTCCTTCCTTCCTTCTCAAATGGGATGTGTATAGAGCATTGCACTGTTCAGAGTGAGGATGTCTCTGCAGGGTGCTTAAATTATTGATGGAACCTGTCACTAGAAGATTCTTTAAACTGGATACATTTTGATTGAGTAGGAAAGAATGTTTAAATGGATGCCTAGCTGTGAAGAGAATGGTTTTGCAAATTTCTCCACACTGCTCCTAATTAAAGTTCGGATAATACAGTATTGTGAGATAACTTGTTCTCTTCTATTTTTAATATGGCAATTTAACATGTACATATAAATTAAAGGCACAGGAGTCAAAAGCAGCAAAGATTGATAATAGCCCTCCCCTTACCTCTTAGATGTTATTTGTGGAAGAAAATATGAAAAAGGTTTGATTGAAAGAGAAAATTTTACCAGGCTTTTTCTATTCAGGAGAAAGATTTATGATTCTAATCTGAATAGCCCTCTCAGGAAGTCTAGGTTCCCACAGAACACAGGAAATGATGTATTTTTCTATAGCACTAAAGGACACATTATGTATTAAAGAGGATATCTGAAAATCAGGCTGTTTTGACGGTATCCAGCTGCAGTGTTAACTTAAATAGATCACAGCAACTTTTATACTTTCCAAAGTGATATTATAGATCAATTTAACAATTTTCAACAAGTATATCCCTTTTAAGATGTCATCTTATAAAGCTCATGATTAATTACCTGGCTATCCATGTAAAATAGCATTACCTATCCCATCCTCCACCTCCTCACGACACAAGCACGTTGGAGCAATCAAAACCTCAGAGGCCCCTGCTATCTGCCTGCTGCTGTCTTGCTAATTTTCATATCTTGGAAATAGTTTAATACCAAGGTTTACATTTTCTCTGAAAACTATTTTTTTTTCACCAGATGAACGCAAAGAATGATGATGATGATGATATGATGATGGTGATGATGATAAACACATACTCTAATTCAGAATTTTAAAATGGAATGATTGCAGGCACATTTAATAAAGTAATAAGATTCAAAGTCCAAGCAGAATGTAACTCTATAAAAAACCCTTTATGTTTTTGAATATGTTTTTACCCAACACTACAATGGGTATTTCATGCATTGAAAATTCTTTATTATATGGTCATACTAAATGACTAGATTTGACATTTAAAATCTTTTAAAAATTAAATTGGCATGAAAATTGAAAGGACAACACAGAAGTAAATCTGCAGTACAAAACTCTAATTGAGAACTGCATGGAATTGCTAGAGTTGTTCTAGGCCACTGAAAACATGATGCTTCTAAATAAACTATTCTTACTTATGCATTTTAAGATATGTTACTGTAGGGATAGCACGCCCTGGAGAGCTTTTATTCCATAGGTTTATAGTTCGAACTCCAAACCACCCATTTTAATGGGAAAAATGATCCCAGTACATCCTCTTTGTTGTCATAATATGATACCCTAGTGTTTTCTTGCTCTCTTTCTTCAAAAATTTCCTGAACTATATTTTTAGTGACTCTTTATTTTCCCATTTATGAAAATTTCCTATGTATTAGCTAGTAGGTTTTAAAACACTTTTCTTTGTAAAAATCTTTTCCACAGTGATTCTTTATCAGACCCCCCACCCCTTGGAGGGCAAATGTAGTTTCAATGGGGTGTTTAACTCTCTTACTTCTCCCAGCACAGCTGGGAGACTGGCTTCGGCTGCCTTGCCAGGGAAGGTTCAGAGGTTTGTCCCAAACATATTTTACTTCTTGACAAAGATCTTTGCTTTTACAAGCTTCATGATGGGTTTATACTTTTTACAAGATGCCTTTCTAAAAACATGTATAATTCCCCAACAGTCTTTTAAAATAGAGTCAAAATACTTTTCTTTTGGAGGAGTTTTACCCCAATGGCTAGTATGTTATATATATATTTCCTGCTTTACTTTTCATTTTAAAAAGATTTATTCTTAATCCTAGGCATATTGGGACGTTTTTCAGCCAGGGTATCAAGTGTGCTGGGCCTCAGTGGCAGACTGGCAGGCTGCATCGTGCAGAAGGGTAGTTGCAAGCAGGTCTCTGCCCTGTAGGTGGTGAGGGCCCCAAGAAGCTGGACTCATCCAGGTGGGAAATCAACCTGTCAGGACGAGTCATGGAAACATGATTAGTTTACTAACTTCATTAAATGGAAACGTTTTCAGCACAGTGTTCCTTCGCTCTCCGTGTCTGGCGAACAATCCAGGGTTTCATGGGCTGAGCAGAAAGCCATGTGTCCACCCAGCAGGAGGGCATTCCAGAAGGCTTGTGGCTTCCTCTGCCTTGTGATCTTGTGGACTCCGTGTGCAAAGCCCTATTTTTGTGACTCCTTCTCCCCTCCCGTTCTCAACATCCCACAGCCGCAGATACACAAATTAAGAATGAAGTGAAAGCAAGGTTGCTCGACTCTTTCAGGTCATGATAAATCTTATTAGAGAGTTGTATATACAAATGACCAGCTTCTCAGGTAGAGAGTCTCTAACAACTAAGCCCATTGCCGCAAAGGTTTCCCTAATTTCCCAGAAGAAATGCTCTCAAATGGGTGCAAGTTAGCTTTTAAAGAGAAGATAGGTATCATTACCCCCCGTGCCTCACGCTGGGGGAGGGTGCGGCGGAGCTCCTGTTTAGGAGAGGAAGGACATCCTTAGCTGCGTTCTTCGTACGCGTCTGACTTCCTTGGTGGTAAACTGTGGGAAATTCGAACCAAATGTGTGCATGGCGGGGGCTTTTTCTAGGTTTTTAAATAACAGACTACGTATCATTTAAATTCTTGGAAGGGCCTTTTATTTTTTATTTAAAATTGTTTTTGCAAGTGAATAGCTATGTCAAACGTTCTACACTCTGTTTTCTTAGAGATTTTTATTAATGCAAGCATACATACACAAAACCTCATTCAGGTAGGAAGAAATATGTTCTCTTGTTCTAAGTAATGAGTTTTAAAGAAAGAGTCCTTTCTTATTAATGAAATTTACACAATCTGTTTACCATTCTAGAAAAAAGTTAGAGAAAAGTCAGTAACAAGCACTCTCTACACTTTAATATTTATAGTTATTGAATAAATTATATTCATATACCTCATGCTGTCCATGGCTAATTAATTTTTAGACTTTCTTTTTGTGTATATCTGCCTTTTGGTTACTGACTTAGACATTTGTTCAATAAATGTTCAAAATAAATGGAACTAAAATTTTAAAGACATTACTCAATTTGTTTAGTGAAGTGAGCTAGTGTGTAAGCTAATTTTTAATGTAAGACAAACTAATTGACTTTTTTTTAAACAACGAATTATTCCTTAATAAGGCCATCTGTTGCAGTACTGAATCCTGCATTACTTATCTGACACGATCCCAAAGTAAGGGTAGAGTGAATAAGTTATATATTTAACTACCAGTCTCTCTGCTGAATTGTTAGTTACAGTCTTCTTTGCTAAGTAGCCAATGATTATCAAAGAAAGATAAAAATAAATAATATATAAGCCCTTGGTACTTGTAAACTGCAGTGGGAAATGCCACTTTAGACTAAATATATGAAAAGAGAGATTTACATCAATAACAAAAATAATCTTTATTAAACTCACTAAACCATAATACTGACAGTGTTTTATTACTACCCTATGACAGGAACTGTGTTTTATTCATTCCACTTATAAAATCAGAACAAATATATAAAATTACTGACTGTAGTGTTTCAACATTCCTTGTTGTGTACACGTGAATGTATTTGTAGGTTTGTGTGTGTGTGTGTGTGTGTGTGTGTGTGTGTGAAATGGGAAGCCCAGAGTAAAATATTACTTCAAATCAGCTAGATACAGCACTGATGTAATGGCATTTATTTCCCCAAAATATGAATAGATTTATTTAGTAATGTTCATATTTCATAATGACTTTTAAATAATACGTCATAGAAACTATGCTATTTCAGATAGGAAACTTGATCAACTTTTAAACAGGACTTAAGAAATAAGTGGTTATAATTGTCTGTCCACAATTCTGTGATGCTGGAATAGAAATAACATCTCGATGTTAATAGTAATCAATAAAAAGGCTCCAGACAATTTCAAAAAAAAGGGCTGGCATTGGGAAGGGTCGTATTGTCCAAGTCTCCTCACTGTTGTACAGCTTATACAAATCCAAGCACTTGAGTAGTGACAAGTGATGTTTCCATCCTCCTGGGTCAGTACTGAGTAGTGTATTCTAAAAGGGATGATTGCTTTTCAGAGAGTAAAGCCTTGTATGAATGAAGCAATGTAGCAATATTATCATAAGACATAAGGTTTTGATACACAGAGATGTCCTTGTTGTATTTATGCATGGTCCACTTCTGTACATAGCCATAAAATATATAAAGGACATATTACTAAGTAATAAGTATGCAAAATCATATGTATTACACAAAACATAGTAACAGTTTTATCTTCAGTTTTACCATTTAACTATGAATAGATTGGATTTTGTATTATTTTCTCTGAAGTGGAAACAGCTGTATCTTGTCACATAATCATGGTTCTTGTGATTAGATTTATGTATTTTACTTAGAAGATTAGCTCATGATAATAATAAATGAATAATAGATAGTATTTACTAAATAACCACCATGGTATTCACATGCCTGTGAACATTCTTTCAAGCAGTCTTTCACTTGGCACACTATCATTGAACAACTACCATGACTAGACATAAGCTAGGATCACATAAAATGATAAGTAAATATAGACGCTATTTTGGCTTATCTGGCATTTTCAATCTTTGAGGAAAAAACCCACATTATTTAAATACTGATTTAATCAGAATTGTGTTGATTGCTCAAATAACCTATCCTCTCAGTAGTGGTATTCAAGCTGATATACCACAAAAATTTACTGAACTCTTACTATATGCCATATACTCTAATGTGAGCTGAGGAAATAGCAGTAGATATAGATATTTATCTTCCGATATAGAAGTTATCTACTTTACTTTTGTTGATTACTCATAAGACATAAACACTTTTTCTTGGCAGTAGATCTGTAAAATGTATAGGTCGTCTGCTGTGTACTTTTCATTTAAAAGTTTCTTTTCCTGCTTCTTATATCTTTCCCAAACCATCCCCTTCCTAAACAATGAGAAGGTGATGCTCCATTTATCCATCTCATGGGAACTGATAAATCATTATATGATAGATCACATTTTCATCTGATGCGTGCAATGCTCTCTCCCATGTTTTTATTTACTATGTCAGTATTTTTGAAAGATCCATTATCAATCATAAGAGCCAATACTGGGATTTAAACATAACAAGTGAATAAATCTGGAAAAATGAAGGGAGCTATTACAACACTGACCATCGGCAGGTGATAGGATGTCTTTTCTCTATACAGAGAAAACAGTCCTCTACACCTAAACTGAAATGTGTTATGACTTTTTAAATGCAGTGATACAAATCACTGTGAGCCACACTGATTCTTTTGGTCATGTTAACTGATACAAGAATAATAAGTGCCATTGAAAGGTTTGGACTTTAGTTCTTGAATTTAAGTTATATTAATCTTTGTATAAATACCAGTTTAACAGTTGACTGTGTCTGTACTTTACTTGGTATTGGAGAAATCAGGCAAGGGAATTATTGTAGATCCAATCAATGCACACACCTGCATGTAGTGCAGGTGTGAGGAACTTATTTTCCAATGAAGTAACAGGGCATGAAAAAGTTTTAACTAGTCATGAGGAATAATAGAAAATATTTATTGTTGATGCAGTAAAATCAACAGCAAAGCAAAAACAACAAAAAAGACTGAAGTAGTAACTAGCATCAGGTTTTCTGAAAGTTCAAGCCGTTGTTGAATCTTTATGACATTCTATGTGGATAGCTTTCTTTTCTTTTTTTTTTTTTAATCCTCACCCGAGGACATTTTTCCATTTTTTTTTGTTCAGATAGAGTGAGAGAGGGGAAGACAGAGAGAGAAAGAAACATTGAAGTGAAAGGGACACATTGAATGGCTGCCACCCGCACGGCCCAACCAAGGCCGGGGACAAATTGCAACCGAGGTACATGCTCTTAGCAGGAACCGAACCAGGGTCTCTCCAGTCCGCAGTCCAACACTCTAACCGTTGAACCAAACCGGCCAGGGTTATGTGGATAGGTTTCTAAAGCAGAGGAGAAACATACTATGGCATTGTTACTGACATTTATCCAGTGGGGCTGTTGAGGGGTTGGAACAGGCCTGAATGTGGGAAAGTAACAATGGTCCATATATGCCTCCACAGATCATGGATCTTCTCCAGTGAACTACCAGTATAGTTCTGGGAAAAGAAAAGCCCAGTTATATTCTCTCTTTGTAGGAAACGTCTGCATTAATCTTCAGGTTAAGGAATAAATAACCAACACTAAAATTATCAAGACCTTTTTTTAAATTGATTTCTTTAGAGAGAGAAGAAAGGAGAGAGAGAGATGGAAACATCGATGAGAGAGAAGATGGACTGGCCGCCTCCTGCATGGGCTTCACTGGGAATTGGGCCCACAGCCTGGGCATGTGTCCTGACCGGGAATCCAACTGGCGACCTCTTCGTGCATGGGTCGACGCCCTACCACTGAGCCACACGGGCAGGCATGGGCTCTTTTTAATCTAAATATGCATTTCCTAAAATACTAAAGCTAAGAAAGGGTGTATCTGAAATATAATTTGGAATTTGTTCAAATTATTCTGAAATATAAGTAGAAATTAGGATCCAACATAGGGTATGCTGGGATTGTTAGAAGAATATATCATTTTTACTCTTGACTCCGCCAGTGACTGACTTGAAGGTTGCTGACTGGCCCTGGCTGGTTTGACTAAGTGGTTAGCATGTTAGCCCAAAGTGTCCTGGGTTTGATTACCAGTCAAGGACACTGTGTTGCAGGTTCAATCCCCAGCCAGTCCAGCGCATGCAGGAGGCAATCAATGAATGTGTCTCTCTCTTTTTCCCCCTCCCTCCCATCCGCACTATCTAAAAATTAATGGAAAAATATCATCAGGTGAGGATTAACAGAGACAAAAGGATTGCTGAGTGGGTCATTTAGCCTCAGGGCAGCAATTCCTTGCTCTGGCCTGCCTAACTGGGATTTGACTGATAAATACATTTACATAGATATTGAAATAATGCAGAAAAAAAGCACAATATCTGAGCAACAAAATAGCTCAAACATTGTACATATTTTTCTCTATTTCTGACTCTTTTTAATACAAATCTCATTGTACAGCACAGGGAAACACAAAATGAAAGAAAATTTATAGTCTATACACATATGACACTTAAGTCCTCCTACAAACTTGAAAATTCTGTCTTCCCCTTATATTAAATATGCACTAGAATTGAAAAAAGATAATAATGATAATGAGCCAAATAGAGTAGATATGGTTTTCTTGATTTTATATTTAAAGATAAAATTGAAGCTCCTCAATTACAGGGTTTAAATTAAAAAACAAAATCCTAGGACTGTCTATGGACCATAATTCCACATCAGACATAACCGTGAGCTGTTAGTCATGTGCATTAATGGTGGGTTGACAAATACGGGACATTTGTTCTAGACACAAATGTCTACGTTTATACCACCATATTATAAAATGCTAAAATCATACATAATACTAGAATTTTATTAGCACCTGTTATTAACATTTAATTAATTACTTTTAATTTTATTAATTTAATATTTACATTAAAATGTTTACAGATGTTATTTATTACTGTTATTTTATTAATACATTAATGAAATTAATATATGGTGTAGAATTTTACACATACACACAATTAATAGAAATTGTATATCAAGGTGATTTTAAAATATGAAATAAGTCAATTTTGTATCCAAAGTGCATACTTGTTATCATAGGGATATATTGTGGATCATATACTATTTTCATTTTGTTTAATCCATACTCATTTTCTTTAATAAACTACATATTTGGGAAGTTCTATAAATGCAACATTTTGGAAAGTTTTTTAAAAGTCCAGGGAATGTGAAAGTAACTATTAATCAATGTGAAGCCTTTGGAAATGTATAATGAGACCAGTGATAAACTCAACCTAAACTATTCAGGAATATTTAGATTATATTGAAGAAAAGAAAAAAAACAAGTGAAATCAGTGAAAGTTTTATCTAGCATCAAGCTTTTCCCAAATATGAAACCTTAGTGACCATTTTATAGACAAGTTTCATGTTACCTATTTAAAAATCTTAGTAATGGTACCCCTGATTATTTTCTTAAAAAACAAACAAACAAACAAACAAAAAAAAAAACTTTCTGTTCTTTGTCAGTCAAATGATCTTTTAAAATAAAACTAGGTCGTATCACTTCCCTGGGCCCATCGCTTTGATTGCCCCCTTCAACACTGCATCCTTTACATTGAAGTAAAATTCAACTTCTTACCACAGCCTGGAAGGCCAGAAGTGAACTGCTCACTCCCTCTTCAGAACGTATTCCCTACCTCTGTTCAACTCACTCCCTTTATTCCAACCACCATTCTTCCCGTTTCTATTATCATAGATGTCAGAACAGTCACTTAAAACTGTAGATCATTTCCTGTCTCTCCACTCTCTGTTCAAAGGTTGACAGTTGTTAGGTCATTTTCTCTACTGAGAATATGCACCTCCAGATTTTCAAATACTTGTCCATCTCGCCATATTTAGAGCTCAGAACAAACATAATTCCTCAGAAAAAACTTTCTAGACTGCATTCATTTATTCTTTGCTTCTTAAATTAGCTCAATAAATATTGAAAGAACATGTGCCAAGCTTTTATATATATATATATATATATATATATACACACACATACACACACACACACACACACACATACACACACACAGATATATATATTTAATACATTTTTTATTGATTGATTTTAGAGAGAGAGAGGAAGGGAGAAAGAGAAACATAAAATTTTTGTTCCACTTATTTATGCATTCATTGGTTGATTCTTGTATGTGACCTGAATTTTTTATATATATTTTTTATATTTTTGATATCATTTTTTGCATCCACTGGAGCAAGAAAATGATCCACTAGTACCATATTCACAGCACCTGAGTCATAGAAATTAATTTTTTTAATGTTGCCTTGGTTTTAAACAAGAAAAACATCTATTGCTGCAGAAGAATTAAGTACAGAAACTAATAGCTAACATTTACTGAGTGCCAAGCACAGTTAGTTTCGTGCCTTTACATATATTAACAAGCAGAACAACCTTTCAGGTTTAGAACTCTTATTGTCCCCATTTCACAGATAGGAAAACTGAGACACACAATACTAAATGCCTTGCTAAAGGTCATGTGGAACACAGTGAGTAATGGTGAGGTCAGCAAAAGTGTGATATTTGCAAGGCTGGAGATGTTCTTGGGATGAACAAGTTAAGGGAAGGTGTAATGTCAGCTAAATAAGAGAGAGAATCTTCACCAGCTGGAGTAACTATAATATTCTGGGAATATATATTGTACAGGCCAGCAGGTTTATCAAACGTTCCCCTTCACAAACCCGAGAACAAAAGACAGGAATAAAAGAAGAGTGAATAAACTTATTTAATTTGGCATTATCATCATTTTTAGAAGTAGAAAATTTTCATAAAGATCTGTGAGGTCAACACCTATTTACAGATAGAGAAACTAAGGAAATTACCTCAGGTTACACAAATTGAGTCAATAGTTTAATCATGTCAGCCATTTCTTCTCTCCTTTCAAGGTTCTCCCTAAGTGAGACATTGACTTTAAGTTTTCCTTAGAAGAAGAAGAAATACAATACATTGTTCAACTTCTATTTTTTTCTCTGACAACTAAAAATGTGTCTGAATATGATAATATAACTTAGATTACTAGCCCGCTCCACAGAAGCCAACTTGGCAATAAAACACACCAGTATTTGTTTTTTTAATTAAAAAATAGCCCAAGATGTGCATCCTTCTTAACACGATGATTTACCAAGAGCTACAAAAGAATACAATTTAAAAATTGCCTTAAAGTTTGTGTATAATAGTTGCCATGAGAAAAAGCAGTTTCATACACAGTCAATGTTGATATATTCAGTCTAGGGTATATATGCATTCATCTTTTTAATATAATACTCTCTGTGAGCAGAACATCTTTTCTAAATGGATGTGTCATACCATTAGTCGGTAGGACATGAATGATTATAGCTTTAAACTGGTAATATGCCTTCCTGACACAAATATAGGACTATGATGCTGCATAATGTTGACATTTATAGCCAGTTTCATAGACTTTATCTGGAATCCTTGAGGAATACAGAGTGGACTTGTATCTATTTTAAAGCGCCTGTGTATGGACAAGCACAGCAACTATTAAGTGATGAAAAGTGTCACAGACTTCAGTGTTCCATTTACTGCGGGTTGCTCAGAGCCCAGGAAGCAGAGCCTTGAACCAGTCCTTCTATGCCCGTGGCAAATGGTGACTATAACCTAGCGATGTTCTTAGATGACAAACCCAGCTCAAGTTTTCTATAATTAGTCTAATAGTAAATTCTGTTTATGTAAGCCTGAACACTAGCAAATATATTATAGTAAAGACCACCATAATGGCTGTATAAGTGATATTGTCTTTCCTCAGTATTACAGGAAAACAAGATATTATGATTTAGAAAGGTGTCAGCATAATTAACATTTAAACTTCAAATGTGAAGTATGTTTATTTAACATAAGATTGATTGAAATGCTTTTAAATAGTTTTAAATGTGCTTTCGTCTTAGTAAAGAATTCTGAAGATAATTTCAACCTTTATTGATGGCAAGTATCAATTATGGCCATGTTAATTATGAATATAGAACCTATGATGTGACAATGTTCCAAGTCTTTATATCTTAGTACATATGGTCATCAGTACAGCCTTATGAAGCACCTCCTGTCGTGACCCCTGCTTTCCAGGCTAAGGGAGTGAAGCAGAGAGGTGAACTGACATGCTCCTAGTCACAGATGGAATGTGGGATTCACCTTCCATCGGTGACCACTGAGGTGTATAGAGATCAACTCTTCAATGTCTGAATTCCCTTTGTGTGCAGGATGGGGACTGAGAGAGAGAAGCTAGGGCTCGGTTCTGCCTTTTACTCTTTATTCCCACTGACAACCCGAAGTGCTAATTAAATGCCTATGGTCTGTGAAATTTTGTCTTAACATTGGTATTAAAAATGAACAGTTTCAGAGTTTACTTCTGAGAGTATTCTATGAAAAGGAAAGAAATGATAATATATGTAGCATATTAAATGAATCCATCCTTTATCATGGTATCCTGGAGCAGACAGGCTGGATGAGGCAAGTGTATTTGAGAGCCTTGAGCCAATATCAGATTTGTTAGATTTCCCTGCCTGAGATGGTATATGTGTGTGTGTGTGTGTGTGTGTATGGGTAGTGTGTGTGTGTGTGAGATATTTTTATTTATAGAACCTGATGTTAGAAATTAATTTTTAAAATTTTCTGAATCTTCTTCAATGACATAAGGTTAAATATGTGTGATCATGTTCATGAACTCATGTGAAGGGGGGACAATGAGAGCTGAGACTTACAGAGACACACACAGAGGGAAAAAAATGTGTAGGGAGGACACAAATCCATGGTTCTTCCCCCTTGCCATTCGGCCATTTTTCCTTTCCTTCCAGTCACATTTGATTACGGGAGTGGATCCCTTCACATTGAGTTTTAGTAAGTGGATTTCCTGGTGAGTGAAGCCATTGTGGTCAAGTTTAGCTTCAGGGTCAAAAGCGTCAGTGGGAACTCGCAGAAGGGCTCCTGTGGTGGAGCAGTCGTGTGTCTGGCCGTCACTGGGATTCATGCTCGGAAATCTCCCTTTCCTTTAATCAATAATGTCAAATGAACAAACTGTGAGGTGGCCATCAGCTCCTTGTTGGACAGTTCCTCTGTTGCTGTTCTCAGTGTCCATTTCTGTAGTGACCCCTCCCGCAGGTCGAGCAACCTGAGGACTCTAGAGGGGGAGGGAGGATGAGGAGGGACAAGAGACAGAGAAATGGAAACAAGACAGGGCTCTGATGAGTCTCCTTTATTCTGGGGAGATCCACACTATATATAGGGCAAGAAGCAGAAAAACAAGAACATTTGTTGCCAAGAGATAAGTTTGTGGTAACCACCCCGAAGCAATTTCAAGTAAATATCCCAGGTGGAACAAAAGATAAACAGAGCATAACTGGCTGAGTAAATGGTTACTTAAAGGAATGCAGAAACATTGTATGCAGAGCAGACTTTAACAAAATGGATGCCATGCAAAAAGTCTCCCACACTGTAGATTTTATTACCTATTTGTAATTACTCTAACCAGGCACTTCTCTCTGAGGTTTTATTATCTGTGTCTATAACTAAAAATTATATCTTCCCTCATAAATTTATCAAGGTAGTATATGTGATTTAATCAATTTCATTATAATTTTAAACAATCTTTTGAGAATTTCTGCTAAACTTGCTCTGACATATTCCTCACTTATTCTCTCTGATTGATCAACAAATGGAAATGATGTTGAAAGTGTGGTGTCAGCAGAGTTGTGTGTAGAGGAAAAAGTGTTTTTTCCCACGGTCCACATGGTTTAGAAGAACTGGATACAAACTTTCAAAAATACACTTGAACCCTGGCTGGTTTGGATCAGTGGGTAGCGTGTCTGCCTGCAGTCCAGAGAGACCCGGGTTCGGTTCCCACTAAGGGCATGTACCTCTTTTGCAGTTTGTCCCCAACCCTGGTTGGGTAGTGTGGGTGGCAGCCACTCAATGTGTACCTTTCACTCTGATGTTTCTCTCTCTCTCTCTCCCTCCCACTCTATCTGAACAAAAAATGGAAAAATGTCCTCCGGTGAGGATAAAAAAAAAAAATACACTTAAACATAATTCAATAGTAAGTTATAAAATAGGAACTGTGATAATTAAAGTGTTAATTAAAGTATTAATTTAAACCTTAGTAATTCCTTTACTTTTTGTTTCTTGGTACAGTTGAAGGAAAACAATATCATGTGTTTCATTAGCAGTAAGACTGTACCTTAATGCAAAGGAGGTTGAAGGCATATCTGGAAATAAAAACTACATCCACCTTTCGATTTTAAGCCCTGACTTCAAATCTTCAGCACTGCATGATGAATTTGTCTTCACGGTTACTGCGCGATGTACAGGTCAAATGAAAACTGCAGGGTAGTGGTTCTTGGGAAAAGGATTTGCAGACAGCTCCCCTCTCTTTCAGTGAAAGGGTGTATTTTGTAATTGAAATGAATTCAATTAAACATACAACCCTATATTGTTCGAGGCCCTGTAATGAGTATGTCTGTGATATGTCTTTAATTTTAATTTTAATTTATTTTTTTAATTGAATTCATTAGGATGACACTAGTTTGCAAAACATTTCAAGTGTATGGCTCAATAAAACATTATTTGCACACTGCATCATGCACCGCAGCCCCGAGCAGTCTCTTTCCATCCTCGTTTCCCCTGCCTTTGCCCACCTCTGCCTAGCCCCCAACC